CAATGTTACGTGCATTCTCGAAACTAGTAATATCGAAATTCATTCATTAGGTTTCGGTGACTTCATTTCAAAACCTTCTACCACCCATCTTTCAGGCGACAACATCACCGGCGTCAAGATTTCGATTACCGCTGATTCAGCGTCAGTTTCGGCCCTAAAGATGAGTCGCCATGTGGGCACGATGTGGCATACCACTCACCTCAACAGTGGACCAACCCTCATTTTCACAGGGTCCGTGCTGTGCGTGGGGGTGGGGAGAAGGTGGACTTGAGTCATTTGGGCCCGACGGGGCGCAAGATCGTGTGAATACTGCGACTGGCACCGGGTTGATGCTTTCGATGCTGTCGTTGAGGCTGGATGACTGAGACGTTGTGGTCCGGAAGGGGCGGCGTGGTGGCCACAGGCGGACACTTTGACTCCAGCACGAGCAGATGTCTCGAGGTGGTCACATTAACGCCGTCTCGGGGGCAGGCGTGGCAAAGTTGTTTGAAGACCGGCAAATGAAATGCAACCATTCATTCCCTCACACCGAACATGCCCATTCAGCCGACCACTGATCCCAACCACAACCCCCCACTTCAGCTATTCAGGAGAAAAAAAACAGAAAAACTCATATACAGACAAGGAGTCTCTTATTCATGACACGTGTGCAAATTTTCAAACTAAATGTTAGCGTCAAAAGTGATTGTATCAGGGCCGGCCCATGTTCTGGCAACCACCTGAGTTGCCAAAACGTGCAGGCATGTATCGTTGTAGAAATGACAATGAGATTGCCGAATAGAGAAAGAAGCAAGGAGACGAGGAAAACGAGGAAAAAATGGAGTAAAATGAAAAAGCGGGTAGAGCATGAAGGCTGGAGAAGAAGGAGAAAAAGTTGGAGAAAAAAGAAGAGAAGAAAGAAGAAAAAAAATAGAAGGAAGAGGAGGTGAAGGAGGAGGAGGAGGTGGTAGTGGAGGGAGAAAGGAAGGTGGAAAAGAAGGAGGAGAAGAAGGAGAAAAAGGAGAAGGAAAAAAAGGCGAAGGATGAGAAGATATAGTAGAAGGAAAACAAGTAAAAGAAGTAGAATGAGGAGAAGGAAGAGGAGGAGAACAAGTAAGAGGAGAAAATGGAGGAGGAAGAGGCAGAGGAGAGGGAAGAGAAGAAGGAGTAAAAGGAGGAAAAGAAGAGAAAGAGAAGGATGGGGAGATGGAGGAGAAGTAAAAGAAGTAGGAGAAGAAGGAGGAGTAGGAGAAAGAGAAGTAAAAGGAGGAGGCGGAGAAGGAGGAGGAGAAAAAGAAGTAAAACGAGGAGAAGGAAGAGGAGAAGAAGAAGAAGAAGTCAAAGGAGGCAAAAGAAGTAGAGGAAAAGAAGAAGAAAAAAAAGTAAAAGGATGAGGAGATGGAGGAGAAAGAGAAGAAGTAAAAGAAGTAGGAGAAGGAAAAGAAGTAGAAGAAGGAGAAAAAGAAGGAGAAGGAGAATAAGTAAAAAAAAGAAAAAAGAGGAGGAGAAGAAGAAGAAGTCAGAGGATGAGAAGGAGGA